GAGAGGGAGGAGGTAGAGGAGAGAGAGAAGGGGGGGAGAGGAGAAGAAGAGAGGGCAGGGAGGGACGGAGAGGAGAGGCGGGGAGGAGGAAGAGAGAGAGGGAGCGGAGGAAAGAGAGAGAGTAGAAGAGAGAGAGGGAGAGGGGAGAGAGAGAGACGAGAGATGGAGAGGAAGGAGGAGGAGCAGAGAGAGATGAGATGAGAGAGAGATGAGAAGAGGAGAGTAACCAAGAGGAGCAGAGATGAGACTGACTGAGAGAGGAGAGGTGGAGAGGAGAGGGAGTAGAGAGAGAGCATGGGAAGAGAAGGAGGAGACGGAGAGAGAGAGCGAGAAGAGAGAGAGGGAGAGAGAGATGAGACGATTGGAGAGAGACGAGAGAGAGGAGACGGACGAGAGACGAGAGAAGAGAGCAGAGAGATCAGGAGGGGAGACGCAGATGGAGAGAGATCATCATCGTGATCATTATGTACTCTACCTGATCGCCAACACTCACGCGCACAACTATCAGGCAGTGTCGGTCGCGTGCTGGAGAGAGAAAACAGAATTCGTCACCATTCTACGAGGTGCTATTTTTCTCGCAGCATCCACCTGACGCACACCCTGAGACGGTGCATGCGATTATAGGGTTCCCCCTTCCCCCTCCTTACTCCCTGTGTGATCAGCACTGACACTAGACAATGTATGATTGCCCCAGTGTTCCGATTCTTCTATAAGTTTTTTTATGTTTGAGATGAGTTCCTACCTAGTGTATTATATTTTTGTTGTGCGTTGCCTTGACGACGGCGGACGAAGCGTTGTCGTCGAGCGTCGAACAAGTGTCCGCGATGAAATGAAAAGATAAAATTGTAAACGTAATATAATTAATGATACGATTGTGTTATACATAGAGTGAGCTATTTTTGTATAAAACGCGTGTGGCCGAGAGACTCGCTTATCGTTTCTGAGGGTGGGTAAAGATTTATTGGGGGTAGCGTCACATCTTCAGCAGCAGTACTGTGGGTCTAATGCTTATCTTTGCTGCGCAGGAGGTAGACTAGAGGCACGTGTGAGGCTTGTAAGGGGGAGGGAAGGGGGAGATATCGCCACTAAAGCGGTGTGAGGCTTGTAAGAGATACATTGATACATAGATATATAAATATATAGATAGATAGATGGAGAGATGGGTGGGTGGGTGGATGGATGGATGGATCGATAGATAGATAGCTAGATAGCTAGATAAATCGGCATCCGTTGGCTGTCGTCGTGACGACGACACGGGGATCTAACACGATTTGTTTGTCACCAGGGGGCCGACGGCGTCTGCGTCGCGGCGGACCTAATGCAGTTTGGAGGCGACGTCATCTTGGAAACACCTGGCAACCTCCACACCGGCAGCAAGAACGCCGACGCCGCCGCGCAGGCATCGCCGGCGCCCCCTGGCGACGCCGCGGAGGGTCTGAGTTTTGGCAGCGTCGCCGAGGCGCTGAGCGGCAAGCTGTCCCTGATGCCGATCCAGTTTCGACCGACACCCGAGCCGGAAAATTCGTCGCAGGGCTTCAACCTGCAGGCAGCTGTGAGCTTCATAGAGAAAGGTGCGCGGTTGGTACTGATGCTGCTGCTGCTGCTGCTCATTGTGATGAAGCGCCGGCGATGAAAGTGTTGTCGGAGGTTCGAATGTGCCGTAGTTGTTGCGTGGGTGTTGTTCGATTAGCCGGAAAGATTGCGAAGAATTGTGATCGACTGGTTGTGAATCGTTTTTTATTCACTTTCGTTTGATGAATCGATGTTTAAAGGTTAATTATGATTAGTTAACTTGAGCAAACTAGATGCGGGTAGTTGTTTATATTCCGGGAATCTTAATGCAAGCTGGTATTTAGTTTAGTGGTTTGATCTGTCCCTTTTGATGTCGACTCCTACCTGTCGCATCCCTAACAGCACCCATATAACTCACATAATGATGTTTTTTGCATTTTTAGGGTGGATGTCTGTAATGGAAGACAAAAGAAAAGGTATGTCTCTAATAAAAATTATGGTTCGTTTTCGACAATTTCCTTCCCCTCTCCCAATACCCCGTATCGTTGGAACTAACCCCACTCTGCCTCACTTCTTCGCCACGTGGCTTTTATCGTAATCGATTTGAATTTCTCTGCTCATGCAACATCTAAAAAAATGTGCACTTGTCTACGACTCACCAGAGTCTGTCACCATCCACGGATTTTGCTTCCATTTATTAACCGCTTAGCAATTTTGCATCCATCAGATTTTTTTTTCTCCATGAAAAAGACATTTTTATATTACATGTATTTGTACATTATTCTTATAATTATCATGTCTTACGTGTATTTTACTGTATTTGTACTTGAATTACATAGCAATAAAGATTTAATAGTAATAGTTATAATTTTATTACTCTGCAGGCAGGCAAGTTGTGTACTGGAGAGACCAGTGAACGAGAGTGCTTGTGGAGAGTTACAAGCTGACACGCCGTTGCGGATTCTCTCGCGACGCCGCCGTCTCCGTTCGTTTTCTCGTGCGTGGCCGTTGGACATTGCGTGCCATCTGACTGTTAATTGCTCGTGGGGATGAGGCGACAGGAGTGTGCCACAACGCGTGTTTAGAAGTAAAAAGCTACTGAGCGAAGCCAGCAGCGTTGTAGTGTAGGTTAGTGCGTGTGGTTGCGCGCATGTGTGCGTGCGTGTGGTTGCGTGTGTGTTTGTATGTGTGTGTGTGTGACTCTCTCTCGCTCTCTCTTTCTCTCTCTCTCTCTCACTCGCTCTCTTTCTCTCGTTGCTAGGCCGAAGACTTCACGCGTAAGACGCTGAACAAGGACCTGAAGCAGATACCGGACGAGGACTTCTGCTCGCTGCTAAACCTGTGCCTCACGAGTCCGAAAGCCCAGGCCATCGTCACCGAACACGACGAGACGAGCGGCGGCCATCGCTCGACACCGAACAATGCCGGCGGCGGCGGTGAGAGCGCGGTGAACGACTGCGCGGCGGTGGCGGCGGTGACGCAGGATCGCCGTCTCGGCAAGACGCGGCGTCCGTCGGCGCCGAGGAACGCTGACGTCGCCGACGCGTCGTCGCCCGTTGCCGCCGGCAGCGAACTCAGCGCCGAGGTGATAAAGGCGTTTTCGCACGGCGCCCGCTGGAAGCAGCGGTCGGCCGGCGGACGCGACGATGACGACGCCGCCGCTGCCGCCGCCGCGTCAGAAAACAATGCGTGCTCGGCGGAAGGCTCGGTTGGGTGTAGCGGCGGGGCCGAATCCAAGATCATCGAGTTGAGGGAGAGTTCCGGAAGTCAGTCGCCGGCCGGCGTCCCGCAGAAAGGTACAGGG